TCAAGTGAGTAAAAATCCTGCCAGTTAAAAAAAAGACAGACAACAAGAAACCCTATATATATTCTTTGTCATTCTGAAAATGCTTTTCTGTCTAGTTGGTTTGTTGAGATGGGTCAAAGCTCTAATATAACATTATGATTATTTAATGTTATAGTTAGTAGGTTCGCAGGTTAGTAGGTTCGAGCCTCGCGTCGGGCTCTGTGCTGACAGCCAGTTCAGAGCCTGGAGCTTCTTTCAGATTCTGTGTCTCTCTCTCTGACTCTCTCCTGGTCATGCTGTCTCTCTCTCTCAGAAATATATAAAACATTAAAAATTTAAAAAAATAAAGAAATGAATTTTAAACATTACATATTATTTTAAGAAAAACGATCTCCCAATAGTTTGAAAACAACATTGCAAACCTCTTTGAAGTTTTCATGGATTCCTACAATTACAATTCCTTTTCCCTTCTTTTTCCCTTCCTTCTTCTTCTCATTTAGGAAAATTTGACTCAGGCTATTCCAAAGTCAAGGAGATAATATTTTGAGGGAATGGGGATGGCAACATGTAATCATTGATAACAGAGACTTCTGGAATGCATAAGGAGATGAAAGAGGATGCCAATTATGGTAACAAGGATTGAGACAGACTTTTTAAGTGACTTTGGTGGACAGGTTTTAAAGGACATTTTGGATTACTTTCACTACATTCCCCCACATGCTTCTCTAAGTAGGGTGAGTACAGATTGGCAAGATTATGGAAAAGATCCTTGTTGCTGCCTGGCCAACAATACAAGGCATTCTATTCTCATTATGATTCATGAACATGTCTCATCTCAATCAGATGTGCTGGCTGGTCATGTGACTTTAATTCAGAGGAAAAGAACAGAAAAGAAAGACTAAGCTGCATTGCCAAATTCATGTCTACCTGCAGTAATGCTAGTAATGATAATATCTGACTCCTATGTGTAGCAGTCCTCAGTTGAGTCAGGATCCAGAAGGAGGGTACCTCAATGGTTCTTTTAAGCTTCAGGCCAGAATCTTCTAAACCCAGACATAGCCCAAAATTTTAACAAAATGAATCATCATTATTACCATAATTGGTATTTGTGCTACTACTTCCCCTGCAACATTATTGAATAACTACTGTGTGCTCTTCTGACCTGGGTTAGGGATATGGCATAAAACAGCCTTTCACTCACATTGTTTAGCTGAAGATAACTTAAAGAAAGGACACAGAATACAGGCAAAGTTACAGAGATCAATCAAGGATGTTGAAGAAACATCTGGAGGCTAACTGCAGAAAGCGGTGTCCACCCCATGTTCTGAAGTGACCAGGCAATGATTACAATCACCAGACCCAAGGAGGGCAAGAAGCAGGAAGGAAGTCATGGCCACTTTCTCTCCCAACACACAGCTCAGCGGGAGTCTGACTTGGAAAGAAGCAGCCACTCTAGCACCTTTGTTGTGAATCTGGGAGAGAATGAGAAATACAATGAGTTATTTTTCTCTTTCTCCCTCCCCTGACTTCATGCTGGTTCTTCCCAGTGGCCAAACTCAACTGAAACTGAACACCAAAGGAGCTCTATTGACGTGATCCATAAGGGCTAAACTCCGGGGGGACAAAGGAAGGTAGAGAAGAAAAGACAATGGGTCCGGGTGGGAGAGGGTGACAAAGAGAGAACCCCCAGCACATCTACATTATGTGTATATCCATAACATTCCCATAGTACATAATAGCCGTGGAGCATTATTCCTAGTAATGAGAAAAAGCACAAGGCTTAGAATGAGTAAATCCTGAGTCCAAGATCAACCTAAGTTAATTGAGTTTCCAATGGCATTCCAGACTCCAAAACTTTCTCTGTTTACCAGGCACTATTCTACCTGACAGGTTGTAGACAAAAGAAACTATTATTCCCCCAGTCAAAAAACAGTAAGACATTCAAGAATGATTTAAAATAAATAAGGAATCCCATTGCTTTATGATTCTCAGGAGATTTGATTCCCTGTTGATATTGGGGAATGGGCAAAAATCAGGTCCTAAATGAGCTTGGTTAGGATTTGTAGAAGAATAAGTTAGTGACTGTATATAATCTGAATGAATTGCTGCCAGAGATAATTAAACCATAGGGACTTGGTGCCTGTATGATAATTCTGTTGTAAACTCTTCTGGATAGAAGAAACTGAATGGTTTATAAACCTATAGCAGTGTATAATCTTCTATTCATGCTGTCCTTGAGAAAGCACTCTTCTTTTACAGGTAGGATTTGGTGTTGTTAAAATATATTGGAATGTAGAGATAAGTATTTCAGTCAACAAAAAATCAAATCATGGGCTGAAACATATTCTGATGAGTTAGCAAAACTGTTGATATAGATTTAATGATTTTCTAAGAGTACAAGCATTCATATACGTACAACAGAGTAACAGTTACCAGACTAGAGAGAACATCCATTCCATATATAATGATTGATTGGCTCCATTTGGGAAAGCACTGTTCCAGGTACCACTGAGGCTCTCGCTGCAGATTAGATAAACTCTTGTCCCTGAAAGTCACACTTTGATGTTGAGTCTTATGTTAGACTAGACCTGGATTTTTCACCCAATATAACAGTAGCTACAACTTATTAAATGTTTCCTTCATGTCAGATATATTTTAAAAGCTTTTCCACTGATTTAAATCCCTTATATGTGGGCGCTTGAACCAAATTTTATACATGAGAAAAATTAGACACAGAGAGATAAATAACTTGGTCATGCTCCATGGCTAGGAATTGGAGGATGTGGCTTTCCCGCCAGGTGGTCTGGCTGCAGACTCCCAGTATCTGTCACCCTCATGACTCTCAAAATCTAACCCAGTATACTGTCTCTTACTTCCTTAAACAAATTAGGGAGTGGTATTAAATATCATTCTGTTCCTTCCAAGTTAGAACTGCTACCCTTTATAATTACAAGCATCCTATTGAATGATGCTCTATATCCCTTCATAGAAAAAAGCCCCTCCTAGTTTTATAATCCATATTAAAGTTAATCAAAATGCATTTCACGAAGACACTTCCTAAACTTTTTCCCACTTCAGACTGAATTATGACCACATAGCAGGAGATATCATCCTTCTTAAAATAAACATCAACCTTCTAGACTCTTTGGATGAATGGGTAGTGCCAGCATAAATCTACATGGCAGAATCTCAGAGTGAAGGTGAATGTCAAGGGCACAGAGCCTCAGGTGCCCCAGAGCTACTTCTGTCTCCCTACAAATATTTCATTCTGAGTTTTCTTTGCTCAAATCATGTAGGATGTGGTGTTCTATTTCTTTAAAGTTATTTTCATACAATATTCAGTTAAATAACCTGAAATGTTCAAGTTTACATTGCACCATTAACCCACAGAAACAGAGATATTAATTATTTTGATGTTTGATTTATATATTAGTAAATATGTATTTATTAAAAACACCATCCCTGCACCAAAGAGTGTTTGTCTATTATAATAGTTACTCAAATTTTACAAACTTAGAAACACACAGAATAATTATGATTACATTGACTTAGGTGATTTGTCTTGGATTTTATTACCCTGGTCAATATGACCAAAGTCCACATGTGCAGAGTGGGATAATGCAATGAGCAAGAGTATTGGAAAGGCATTTACAAAGTGCCTTATGAAATGATTCCTGTTCATTTTTGGCCTCGTAGCTATTAGCAAGAGAGTATAACATTGCTATACCTGTGTGTTTGTTACTGAAGGAGGCTATTGGTTTTTCCAAGATGGTATTTACGGTACATAAAGGTACCATACATAAATGCAGAAATGCAGAGAGATGCACTTGAGATAACTTAAGTCTTGTCTCAGTTGTATGATTACTATGATTATTATTCCACTAAAATAGTTTAATGTATTAAAAAACCTAAATAGAATTTATGTTACATAATTTTTAAAATAGTTTAAAAAATTTTTTATTTATTTTTGAGACAGAGATAGAGACAGCGTGAGCAGGGGAGGGTCAGAGAGAGAGGGAGACACAGAATCTGAAACAGGCTCCAGGCTCTGAGCTGTCAGCACAGAGCCTGATGCGGGGCTCGAACCTACGAACTGTGAGCTCATGACCTGAGCTGAAGTCGGACGCTTAACCGACTGAGCCATCCAGGCGCCCCTTATGTTACATTATTTTTTAAATTTTATACTAGAGTTAAAAGAAGGTAGAATTACCATTAAATTATTATAGTGCATGGATATGTTTATTAACAACATTTTATTAATGTCTCCTCCCCATACTAGGGAGGCTTTTAATACTATTGCTTTCTCTAATCTCTCACCCAGTGAACACTTGATATCACAGATATATAAGTATCTGTATATCTTACACATATCGTTTGTATACTGTACATGTATCTTTTTCAATATCAAAAACATGATTGACTTTTGTGCCTCATGAAGCAATTTCTGGCCCTGATAATTGACTATAATACACAAAGCAAAGGAGATCTTAGGCTGAGTCCTACATGTAGCATGAAGGAACAAACTGCTTGAAGAGATCTTAAGTTCAGGGGGCAGGAGGAAAAAAGCTAGTTCTACAGGGATATGCATCATTCCCTCTAGCTGCAAAAAAAAAAAAAAAAACAAAAAAAACAAAAAAAACAACAGATGATGATGATTTAGATACCACAGCAAATATATATTGAAAAACAATGGATTGCAATGTCCGAAAACAGCCAAGTTTAAGGAAACTGTAAGTGAACAAATGTAGTATATCTTGCCAAGAAGATAAAGTCTTCTCAACACGAAAAGACTTGAAGAAAAACATTTAGAATATGACTGCCTTTATCAAAGGAGCTCTCTACTAATTTAGATGTTTAAGATGTCAATTGCGGGCTAACTAGGCTATTTATTTATGCCACATGAAACTTAAAATTGCAGAGAAAAACTATCAGATGACATGATGGGGTAACCGATGCGTGATAAAAAGACAAGCATTTCTACTTGCTTTCCTGCAGTTCTCATTTGAAGCCCAGGACACACAATGTTACCGACAAACTACACAGCAGTGGCTGAGTTTATCCTCTTGGGACTGACAGATCGAGCCGAGCTGCAGCCTGTCCTTTTTGCGATTTTCCTACTCATCTACCTTATCACAGTCGTTGGCAACGTGAGCATGATTTTGTTAATCAGAAGTGACTCAAAGCTTCACACGCCCATGTACTTCTTCCTCAGTCACCTCTCCTTTGTGGATCTCTGTTACGCCACCAGTGTCGCTCCACAGATGCTGGTTCATTTCTTATCCAAGAGAAAAGCCATTTCCTTCCTTGGCTGCCTTCTACAGTTCCACTTTTTCATCGCCCTGGTGATCACGGATTATTACATGCTGGCGGTGATGGCTTATGACCGCTACGTGGCCATCTGCAAACCCTTGTTGTATGGCAGCAAGATGTCCAGATGCGTCTGCCTCTCTCTCGTGGCTACCCCATACATCTACGGCTTTGCCAATGGCCTGGCACAGACCATCCTGATGCTTCGCCTCTCCTTCTGCGGACCCAATGAAATCAACCACTTTTATTGTGCGGACCCCCCTCTCATAGTCCTTGCCTGTTCAGACAATTATGTCAAAGAAACTGCCATGTTCGTGGTGGCTGGGACCAACCTTACTTGTTCACTAGCCATCATTCTTATCTCCTACATTTTCATCTTCACGACCATTCTGCGCATCCGCTCTGAGGAGGGGAGGCGCAAGGCCTTTTCCACCTGTGGGTCCCACTTGACGGCTGTCACTGTCTTTTATGGAACTCTCTTCTGCATGCACCTGAGACCCCCTTCTGAGGCATCTGTAGAACAGGGGAAAATTGTAGCAGTTTTTTATATCTTTGTGAGCCCTATGTTAAACCCTTTGATCTATAGCCTGCGGAACAAAGATGTTAAACGAGCAATCAGGAAAGTTGTCCAAAAGAAATCACTTTTTGAATAGACATTTTGGTCACAGGTATGTAATATATCTCATTATCTCACCAATTAATGAGCATTTAAAATTAACAAATCACCTTCTGTCATTGGCTTTTTGTCTTTTATTGTCCACATCTGGATCTTGAAAGTGTCAAATTATTTGCTAGTATTTGTAATTCTGTTTCAGTAGGTTAAAAAAAATCTCTTAGAAATTCAAGTCCAAAACTGGAAGGCATTATTATTGCTCTATAAATTCAATAAATAACAGAAGATTCCATCTATAATACTTATAGTGATTCAAAGTTATAAAAGACAGAAGTACCAAATTATTTTGTGTCAATGCCCATCTGTTTGATTTTTATAGTGCTTAATAATTTTCAAACTAATATCCAGAAACTTCACAAATATAGTAGATGAGAGATTTTATTTCTTTTTTCTTTACAAAAGACATATAAGAAAGAAGATTTTGTGTATCTCAGATTATTACTCTAAACAATATTTAGAATGATAATACTGATATAGTGGAATCCTTAGTCATAAGGCTTATGGATGGAATGGCAGATTTTCCTTGGAAGATTTTTTAAAAATCAATATCTACCCTCATCATTAAACTGGTTTTGTGGTTTCGCTTGTATTTTTTTTAATCACGAACTATTTCAACATACTTTAAAAAATAGGAACTAATGGAAAGCCTGCCTGTGCAAGTGAACTAATCATTATTAAGGCTTCACATGTGTGCGTTTTGCTTCAAATATTTCACATACTCAGATAGTCTCAAATTAAGCCCTGCCTGCCTGATTCCATTCCTCTCTCCATTTCCTGCGCTCAACTCTCACGCGAACTTAGTGTTTCTTATTCCTATGTAGAGTTCTAATGTTTGCTGATGTTCCTGTATCCATAAAATTCTATAATATTATTTTGGGAGACTTAAAACTTGCTACAAATGAAGTCACTCTATCCTTCTGTGAGTTTTCTATTTTCACTAAATCTTAGATTCCTCCATATTGATTCATGGAGCATGAACTGTCTTTGATATAGTCTACATCAGTATATAAATATGCCACAATCTATCTAACCATTCTATTATTGATGGGGGAATACATTTTTCCTGTACCTTGATAATACAAAAATCTAGCAAAACATTTTACTCTGAAATTCTGAGTGTGGACCAGTTCAAGAGTTCTTCCCTGAAGGTTAACTTCTGGGTCATAAGAAAAGAGTATCTTTACATTTAGTAGATATTGCTAAATTGCTCTACCAAGTGCTCTCCTGCCAACAGTGTGTGAGATTGGTCTTTATTTCATATTCTCTCAATTACTGTATACTGTCAGGCTTTCCAGATGTTTTCCCATCTGATGGGTGTAAAATGGATAATAATATCTTGTTTATTAAGCTCTTGTGTTGTCATTACTAGTGAAGCAAAGTGTTTTTAAGTGCTTTGATGCTAATAGAAAAGTTGTCTTTCAGTTGTATGTCTATTTTCTTTTTAAAAATTTTTTAATGTTTATTCATTTTTGGGAAAGAGAGAGAGAGAGACAAAATGTGAGTGGGGTAGGGCAGAGAGAGGAAGATACAGAATCTGAAGCAGGCTCCAGGCTCTGAGTTGTCAGCCCAGAGCCTGACGCGGGGCTCAAACCCACGAACTGTGAGATCATGACCTGAACTGAAGTTGGACACTTAACTTACTGAGCCACCCAGATGCCCCGTATGTCTATATTCTTAGTTAATTTTCCAGCTGGGTTATTTTCTCCTTATTTTGTACATTTGCAATAGCTCCTTATATATTCTGTACTAGATACCAAACTTATGATATATGCAATGCAAAGACTTCAACCTGTTTGTAGCTTGTATCTCACTTTTGTTCATGATATATTTGGTGGTATAGAAGTTTTTCGTTTTAGGTTCAAATGTTAATCTTCTCTTTACGGTTGTGCTTTGTATGTCTTGTCTAAACAATTCTTTCCTATTATAAAAATATTCTATTTTCTTTCAATTATTTAAAGTTTTACTTTTGTGTATTTAAGCCTGTATTTTTCCTGGTATTACAAATGTTGCGATACAATTATTACTCTGATTTTTTACAAAAATAATTCATTTTCCATCTTTTAAATGCTCCATATGGTTCTTATTAAGATTTTAGTAAAGGGTGTCTGGGTGACTCGGTTAAGTGTCCACCTCTTGGTTTTGGTTCAGGTCATGATCTTACAGTATCAGGTGTTCTGGCCCCCCATCAGGCTCTGTGCTGACATCCCAGAGCCTGCTTGGGATTCTCTTTCTCCCTCTCATTGCCCCCTCCCCCACTCATGTCTCTGTCTTTCTCAAAATAAATAAATGAACGTATTTTTTAAAATTTATCTTTTTTTATTTAAAAATTTTTAATGTTTATTCATTTTTGAGAGACAGAGAGAGACAAAGCATGAGTGGGGGCCTGTCAGAGAGAAAGGGAGACACAGAATCTGAAGCAGGCTCTAGGCTCTGAGCTATCACAGAGCTGGAGTGGGGCTTGAACTCACAAACCATGAGATTATGATCTGAGCTGAAGTCTGACAGTTAGCCTAGTGAGCCACCCAGGTGCCCCTAAACTTAAAAAAAATGTTTTTTAAGATTTTAAATAAATTCTTTCATGTATAAAGTTTTCATGTTTTTATCAGTTTGTTTCTTGGCTCTGTATTGTGGGACCAATCTGTCAATTCCTTCATCAATGCAAACTATTTTTATAATGATAGTTTTGTCACCTCTCATCTGAAAGCTTGTACATTAGAGAATTTTCTTGAAAGATCTCTGACAGAAGATACCGTTAAAATGTATAGAAATATTTTATTGTCTCCAGAGTTTGTTATTTTCTCAGAAGGCACAGGATACCAATGTCATTGAGCCAATGCTGATGGCTATGAGAAGAGCAAGAAAAAAGTTATTCATAGTTGATACTAGGTCTATGTCCACTCTTGTATTCTGGTACCTGTCATCATAGATCTTCCTTACTATGGCTTAACATATGCTTCAATTTGTCATCAGTATGCATGCATTGGTCTTCTTTCCTTACTTGTCCAAACTAGTCCATTTCCCAAGTCTGAATGTACCATATCCTGATTTAAGAGTTCACAGAGAAAATAGCAACAAAAGTAGGGTGTTATGATTTTTCCTCTTCAGGAATTATAGGTTGTCCATTGTCTCCTGGAGAATTTGTATTTCCATCCATTTCATGGCACTCTACTGCTCATCCTTGGCATTTTCTCCTGAAACTACAAGTTTTGAAAGTTTTGAAACAAAAATTTCAATTTTGTTGAAATTCCTCTCAGAATAAATTGGCTGGGCAAAGCATAGCTCTCTGAAGTCCAGGTCAATCTAGTTTTTTTTTTTTTTTTAATCTTCCATATCCTTACATATGTTTGATTGCTTCATATATAAAAACTGAGAGAGGTGTTTGTGGTTTTGTTTATTTCTCTTTGTAATTTTCCCTATATTATTTGCTCATGTCCAGTAAAGAACTAGTTTTATTCCTTTTATCATTTTTAAATTTTTTATCCCTACTTTGAATGATTAAAATCTAAAAGTGGTTTTCTTTGATTTATATTCATATACTACCAGCAGTATATTCATTGTTTTGGGTTGGTTGATGCTTATCATATATGTTTTTACCTTCTTTACTTTCAGGCCCTAAGTCATTTAAATTACTGAGTTTCATATTTTATTGTGAATACACATACTTAGATATACGTTATAACAACTTATTTTGCATTTAAAATTTTTTTCTCCATCTTTTTTTTCCCTTTTTCCAAACAGGAGTTAAATTGTGTTTTCTAAATAACTTTGATTCATGACTATCTTACCTGCCTACTGTCAGCCCCAAAGGGCAAAGCCCATGTCTGCTTTTGCTGATTATTTTAAAGCTGGCATATTCCCCAAACCTTGATATAGATGGTTCTCAATAAATTTGTATTTTCTAATACACTATTGTTATACCCTTTGGATTATGGCTATTTGAGTGCAAGCTTTAAGCTATGCTACTTGCTAACATCAGGGCTTCTTTTTTTTCTTAAAATTTTTAATGTTTATTTATTTTTGAGAGAGAGACACACACATGTTGCAAGTGGGGGAGGGGCAGAGAGAGAGACACACACACACACACAGAATCTGAAACAGTCCCCACGCTCTGAACTGTCAGCACAGAGCCTGACGTGGGGTTCGAATCTATGAACCGTGATATTGTGACCTGGCCACTGAACCAACTGAGTCACCCAAATGCCCTGATCTTCTGGAATTCTTAACAAATCAACACCTGATGGTGAAACTTTACATATGCCTGCCTCATCCATTCCACCATGAAGCAGAAACTCTTTAAGGACACAAATCTTTTGACTTTCTCTTATACTCTCTACATTGAGAGTACAATGATAAATAGAAGGCTTTTCCTGAATGTTTTTAACCCTGTGGGTGAATGGATGAATGAATGGATGGATGCCAATAATCTTGGAGAAGGTATAGCATGGTGTGAGCTTGTCACATTTCCTTGCTTAATAATATGATATCAAGGACTATAGTTGGCTTGTTTTAATCCCAGCCTCACAATTTATTTGCATTTACTAGGGAAAGTTACTTAATCTCTCTTTGCTTCAGATTCCCATCTGTAAAATAATGCTAATAGTATTAACAACCCATGAAATTGTGTAAGGAATAACTTAACTAATGTGTGTATATTGGTAAGCCTAATACCCAGCACACAGTAAATATTCCATGCTTATCACCTATAATTAATTACCCCTGTTCTGATTTCTGTTTTTTGGTTTCTTAAACAAATTAACCACTTAAACCACTTCATCTCCCTACAGAATTCATTTCTGAGGGAGACAGAAGTATGCTGATGAAGTTACCAGAGAGGAGATAAGCGAAGGTTGTGTATTCATATTCATAGGCTTAAGTACACATTGCACACTTCTTAAGTTATTCACCAAGTATCTATTTGTAAATGATCATATCCTAGGACCTGTGCTACCTGCTGAGATCACAATTCTTGCCCGTAGGGGT